AGCTCGTCGCAAGGCCTCTACCTGTAGACAAACACAGAAAAACGCACATAAACATCCATGCCCTGAGTGGGATTCGAACCCACGATCCCGGCTTCAGAGCGAGCGAAGACAGTGCATGCCTTAGACCGCTCGGCTACCGTGACCGGCCCATTGCTCATCTGCTGATGGGAATATATGCAACTGCTGATCAGTTACTTCTATAAAAAATCCACTCATACTGCATCCTACATCCTTGTAGGATAAACGCAGCGCAAGTATTGTGAATTATTTTCGTGAAGTTCCTCATGAGGAGCACACTGGAATATCTGTGTTATCTCACTTCTGTCGAAACGAACAAATTAGACGAAACCAAAGCAGAAACGAATAAAAAAAATCCAGCGCATAGTTAAAATAATAGTTTTTATCTCTCGTGATTTCAAATTGGTTTATCAGTAACACATTATCATTTTTTTAACTCCGAGATAAACTTATTTTCGCATGACCTCATTATTTAAGCTCTCGCGTGCAGTATTCTGATCTTGTGCTACATCTCTGTTGTCGAGAACATTAGGTGTCAGAGACGCGTATCTTTACTTTTCAGTTCTCTGGGTTCTTCCATTCCGATTAATAATCGTGGTATCACGTAACAAGGCAATTCCTTTGTAATCTAACCCAAAATGTTATTCTTTGGAAGCGCGAATCCCTCGATTTAGGAAGGTGTTTCATTCCGTGAGAAATGTTCATAATGTGAAAATTAGTATATTTATTAAATCGGAAGTGATACTCCCATTGCTTTACACGTAAATAATGTCGCCAACTCGTTCAGGCATCCCCAAAACATCGATATATCTATCTGCCCCCCCACCCACACATCTACCTTCCTACCTACCCACCTACCTACCTGCCTACCTGCCTGCCTACATATCTTCCCACCCACATACCTGCCTGCCTACCTGCCTACCCACATACCTGCCTGCCTACATACCTCCCTACCTACCTACCTTCCCACCTACATACCTGCCTACCTACCTACCTACCTACCTACCTACCTTCCCACCTACATACCTCCCTCCCTACCTACCTACCTACTTTCCCACCTACCTACCTACCTATCTACATACCTCCCTACCTACCCACCCACCTACCTACCTACCTACTTATTCCTGGTACTCTCACTTTGAGCATAGGGCATCGTTTCACTTCAGTTTCTTAATCTTAGACAGTTGGAAGGACTCCTTGGACAGGGGATCAGCCCGACGCAAGGCCGCTACCTACACAGGACAAAACAAACACAGAATAAACGCAGACAAACATCGATGCCTTGAGTGGGATGCGAACCCACGATCCAAGCGTTCGAGCTGACGAAGACATTTCATGCCTTATCCCGCGCGGCCACTGTGATCTGCTGGAGAAGTAACGACAGCAGAGACTCCACCGTCTGGTATAGTCGCTTACGAGTATATCATTTTAAAACTCTATAAAATTATTCAGACTGTGTCATTAATTGACCTAATCAAAAATTTATGTGATTTTTTTGGGATGTCTATATCTGCTTCTCTACTTACTGGTTGGTAGTGCAATATCTTCACGTATTCATATATAAAAGCGACACTGTTAATTATTGGGTTCTATAGCTCTTTTCGAAAATTGATTGCAAGGTATCTATCATTTCCTACTAAGATTTTAGGAAGATAAGACCTCGACCTATTGTACTTATCGTCCCTGAATGCATTCTGAATACTGGGGGGGGGGATATTAAATACTCCTGGATAGTCAGTTTTAGAATTTGACTGACGGATTCTTCTTTTTTTTTTTTTTTGTGAGATATTTGAAGATACTTTACTGACTTCACGTGTTCCTTCTTAGATTGGCATTAGATGAGACTACGTCCACATAAATTTGGGGAAGGGGGGGGGCAGAAGGGCCATTTTGCCCAGACCTCTTTCCTTGATGGGGGCCCGCGTGCCCGTATATACATAAGTAGGCAACAATTTTGGGAATTCATTTTAATGAATTGTTGTCTTATTATTCCTGGTCTCTCAACGATAATAGTTTGATAGAAAACTTGTTTTTAAAAATATTTGTTAAATATATTCATATAGTATTTATATGAGGGAGTTTTGGCCCACATTTCTGACTGACCCGGGCCCCATCTCAGCTCTCTCATGCCCTGGATGAGATTATGGACATATAGTGTGAGTTTGAAACTGTGGAGAAGGAAGTTGCTGCGGCCTGCTCCACGGTGTCCTCTCGGTGTTCGTCTAAGTAGCTGAGGTTAGTGAGAATCTGAACGGGCCACTTCCCAAATACAGCTGTGATGACCCGCTCAGCTGTAACAGGATAACTTTCAGCGTGAACAAAGAATTACTTAACGTTACAGAAATAATCCTACGAAATTACTACAGAAATTTCGGGAAGGGTTCAATTTACAATCTCATATTTAACAATTTAGAACATTTGCGGACAAAGAACAGCTACGTAAATGCCTTGTACAGCTCATTATATTTGTGAACGTTAATCATTCACCACCTAATAACTGTTTTTGACAGCTGTTTTGATATCCTGTACCTGGAGATTGTAGATAATCAAATAGGAGCAAGTTTCATGTTCGTAATTACGTATGCCTGCAGAAATATTTCCCCTTAATCAGCACAGAGTGTGTACACTGGTTGTCAAGAGTCCAATCCACTCAATCTCTAATATTTCTCGTGGAAATAAAGTATGGTTTGTAAGTTAGAATTGCAGCGACAAGTCCACGAACGAATTCAAATCATGCATTAAAAGTGGGATTCACAAAATATGCTCGTTTAATTATAGACTTTAACCTAGAAAGTGATTTTAAATTAAAGCTGTAAATCAAAATGTTGACTTTATGTCCTGGTAAAAAGAGTTCTGGTTAAGGGTGTGGAATATTCTTTGCAATGATTTCATGAGTTATTTTAATGTCACAAATACGAGTATCTACGCGAATTCATGAATATTTTCCTGTTCTTCAGGCCAATCAGGGATCAGATTATATATTTTATGGAAGCGCAAATGGCGGTCGCTTCTCACGCACTTATAGACCCTCTCATGCACTCACTCGTTTGCTGCATTGCTTACGCATGTCACGTGCTTTACAAGAATACTCGAAACGGCCCAAACACAACGATCTTCATATCTCGCTTGTGTGAGTATATTTCACTTGTCAGGACTTATTTGTGGATTATTTAACGATTCTATTTCAGCCGTTAGTGTGTGTAGCAGGCCGTCTCATAGCTCAAGCGGTTAGTCGCTGGCTTTCCACCGCGGCGGCCCGGGTTCGATCCCGGGTCTTGTTAAGTGGGATTTTTGGTGGACAAAGTGGCGCTTTCTCCGAGTACTTCGGTTTCCCCTGCCAATCTTCATTCCACCAAATTCTTCATCATCATAATCACCCGGGGCAGGCTACAGTAGGTCAATCAGTGTCCGCCGTGCCGAGTGGACTCAGTTGGACTCCACCCCCCGCTAAGCGAGTTAAAAAAATTAATGTGTGTAGCGATAAATTGATATGATTGTTACATTAACGACGGTAGCGGTAGCGTAGCTGGTTGAGACACTATGCTACAAGCCGGAAGGTCGCGGGATCGTGTCCCGATGAGGTGGATATTTTCAATTAACCTAATCCTTCCAGCCGCGCTATGACCCTAGAGTCGACTCAGCCTCTAACAAAAATGAGTATCAGGAATATTCCTGGGGGTAAAGGGTGGCCGGCACGTAAGGCTGAAAACCTCACCGCCATCTGTGAACCGATTGTCTAGAAAATGTGGGAACCTCAACATCTCACAACCTTATGGACCTCCACGGCCTGTTACAAGGATAGCTTTACTTTTACTTTGTTTACATTAACGACTAGCCACAATTATGATACCTTGTTCGATCCAAGGTCATTTAATATGGGATTTATGGTATACAAAGTGGCACTGGGGCTTATTTTCTTTAAGTACTTCAGTTTTCCCCGTCAATTACTATTGCACCAACTGCTCCACATTAATTAAACATCGTATCGTCGATGCAATAATCTTGATACTGACAGCGTCGTTAAATAAGCAACTTGAAGAGGACTAGCGACACTGTTTCGAGAGAAAACGTTACTTTTAGTGTTGAATGAGACGGGGAACATGAACGTGAATTATAAATAGACGAGGATTTTGTTAGAGGCGGCTTGGCTTAATTGCAGTTGCTACGCTATAATTAAACCAGCGAGACTGGAGAAACTCACGAAAACGTCTGTCATAATAGCTGGTCTCCGGAACGGGAATCGAACTTGGACTTCCCAAATATGAAGAGGAAATGCTAGTCACCATGGCGGGAGGTGTACTGTTAATTGGAAAAGAGGATTCGGGGTGTAGCAGTTGTGGCCTGTATGAAATTACTATTCCCGTATTCATACGGATTTAATGATGACAGTTTCAAACTCTTAGAGTATCTCAGTGCTTCAGACGAGAGTCTAAACGGGTAAGATACTGTCAAGGGCATCGCCGCTGTCTTGACCTAGTTGGCCATAAGCGTGTAGAACAAGCCTGTGCCTGCCATCAGTTTCCGAATCTTTCCTTCGTCAGGAGCATAACAGTTTTCTGCGAAGATTAGTCTTACGATATTTTTGGGTTCCAAGGATCTAGTCAACATTGATTCCTCCACATTTTATATGGTCTTCCTTTTGTTCTACCTTATCGTTTATCAAATGTCCTCTCATCCAGTCCTTCCAGATGGTGGAATCAGTTCTTTGATATTCAACTCTATAGTCTAGAATGTTGTATGTAGTTCCTTCTTGACTGGTTGGTTTCGGGCAGCAGCCCTTAGGAACATCATTATATCTGCCTAATTTCAGTTATCCCATTGTTAGGGCCCAGCTCTCTGATCCCTGCAGGACGTGAACACAATCACGTTGCTATGTGGGCCATGGTGCTTGACTTCACGTGCTGGATGCTTCTAATAAACTAGACCGTTCTCTGTCTGGAAAAAGACAGTATTCCTCGCGCAAGCGCAATTCCACGTGCAATAGTTCATCCGTGTTTACATCGTAGCTAGACTCGCCGAATAAGGAAAGCGAAAGTTAGTGACAGTTGTTATGTTTATTTCCTACTTACATCATTGTGGATGTGTTTGCATCCGTTTGCAATGAGCAGCTGTGGAAAAGATAGGCACAGTAGAATATTATGAAGGTCATAGTTCGATGTAGATTGTAGATTAGTGTGGATATGTGCAGGTAAGCAGTGCTGTGTGTTTTTCATTACATCGTATTTGTTGTTTCTTTCTTTCACAGGCTATTTAATGACCCTTTCGATACTGAGACTGCATAGAGTCGGGTATTCTTTGATACATTATTAAACTGCCTTTCCCTTATAGTTCCTTATGTTTATGACTATTGATTTGCAAAACACTGTCTTGAAATGGCTGTTGTGACGTAAGATAAGTACAGTTGTGTGCTACGTGTGAACACAAAGAACCGGTCTACACCTTTGAAAGCCGTAAGTTTTATGTAGTTGTTACCAGTGTTAGGATTTTATATTTTAGTATGATTGAAATACATGAGTAACAGATGACTGAAATCGTTTGCAATAAGATTTCCAGGATAAATGCTTTAATATCAGCAACAGGTACCTTAAAGTGTAACTCGTGTATATGACGTCACAGATGGGGAGATATTTTGGAGGTCAGCATGAGTGAGGCATGGGTACCAATATAAATGCACTGGCATATTTGTAGACAGAATATTTATTGCAAATTTGAAATTCTCTAGAGGTCTCTTCTATTTTTAAGTTTATTTTTATGACATGTGTTATGAATCCTTTCTTGCTGTCCATTGTCACACGTTATTTCGTGTTTGCGGGAAGAAGATGGAATGACATGAAAGATGAGGAGCTGCAGGACTCGATTAAGACACAGCAAAACCCTGAACTATGATTAACATAATGCCATATATGTTGTGGCATTGTAGAAAGAATAACTAATGTACCTTAAAGATTTCTATTGTAATTAAATGGGCAGACTTTCTCATGACTACATAATTTAACAAAAATATAACAAAATGTTTCAAAGAACTATAAAATAAAATAGATAAAAGTAATTGTAATCAAACTATTAAGCAATTTACATGTTGACTAGTATGGGGAAGAATTACATTGTTTGTGGTATGTGGAACTATAAGGTAAAAGGTAAAGTTTTTCCTATGCTTAATGGATTAAGCACCAAGCCATAAAGACATATGGAGGAGTGAAGGTTTAGTGCCACCATTCTTGGCTTCTCCACTGGACGGAGGTGAGTGATCAGCTCCACGCCCCGGCCGCTTGTTCCCGGGGAAAGACGGTGCCCATTGGATAGGAGGCTAGGTAGGCCCCAGAGCCAGTCTGGACGCTGTGAAGCATAATAAGACTTGCCTCTCACAGGAATCGAACCTCGGGTGTCCAGTCCGCAGCCCGTCGCTATACTGATTGAGATACACAAAACTGGCATTATGTGTTTGGCAAGCGTCACACAGATACATCAGAACTGAAAGCAAGGTGCGATACGACCTTCCAATTTATTTCCGACTGTCATATATATTATTTCATACTCTGTTTCCATCATCAGACCGCCTCTATGGTCTAGTTGTCAGTGTTCCTGGTTACAGATCCAGAGGTCCCGGGTTCGATTCCTGGTACCACCACATTTTCTGAGAAGTAGTGGATCTGGAACGGGGTTCACTCAGCTTCGTGAGGATAGTTGAGAAGCTCTTTCAAGGAAATAACGGTTCCGGTCTAGAAAACCGAAATTAACTGCTGTGGGGATCCGTTGCGCTGACCACACGACACTCTCTATCTGCGAAAGTTGGCACTAACTTCGCCGACAAGGGGCGGTCGCTCAGTCGGTTTACTTTGTTTGCGGACTACAGGCCACAGAGTTTTTGTTTCCATCATCATGATGTAAGCGGAGGTAGTCAGTTGTTTGTTATATTCTGAATTTTACAAGGGTTTAAGATTTTCTCATAGATGATTACTTTATTGCATTTGAAGACACTAAGCTGTAGTTGATTTAGCGTTAACACCGCTCTTTTCCAACCCGCCTTTGCTTGTATCGGCGCAGTCGGAATGGTGCTATCCCTGCTACACCTGTTTCTACCTTAGGACAGTGTATGATGGCTACTGGAAGTTGTCCTCACAGATCAAACTAAGGAAGATCGGTATAGGTACGGGAAACTAGCTGGGCCGGTTCGCATGAGTCTCAGGGTAGCGATGCCGAAGAAAGCGTTTTTCTGAGAGTTGAGTCAATTGACGTTTATTCACCTGCTAATTCACCACACTGTTAAATTAATGTATTCTTAGCTTTAAGTTACAGCGTTACACTATCGGCAAGCTATGTCCCGGAGCGTGCAAGGGTCACGTCCGTTCAGTTCGGAATATTGTGAAAGTCTCCCCTTTTGTGGAATGGCTTGCACCCCCACGCCGGGAATTCGAAAGATGGTGTTGACATATACATTTTCATCCCATCTTCCGTAGGAAGCTTGAACGAGGCAACCCAATCATACTGGCCCTCATTCACAGGCAATTGTAACAAGCTCTGACCCTTCCTTTTAGGCGCGTCCGGTTCCCTGTACCCGAGCTAAATTTATGACTGATCGTAAATGTCATAACTCCGGACTTCTTGTTTCTGCCAGAATCTAGAAATTTTCAACATAAACACCGTATTGCACGTCCCAGACGATGAAATACGATATTATAGATCACGATACATTTCCAGTAATACCGAAACATAAGACTTTTGAAATTTAAATTACCGAGAATTAATTAGAAATAAATTTCATGGTCATCTATAATCATCAAAATAAATAAGGGCTCAGAATGATCAGCGTCAGCACTAACAGAATACCTTACACATAATTTCTTACATGTCACGCCCGTGTCAAGTTGCATTCCCACAATCCAGCAAGTTGCAAGATGTTCTGGAACCCGTAAAGTGTGGAATGCTGCACAGAGCTGAATTCTCTCTTTTTGATAAAATTATCGTACAGTACAGTGGAGGGTGGAGTCCAGCTGGGTCCACTCGGCACGTCGGCCACCGATTGACCTATTGTACCTGCCCCGGGTGATTATGATGATGGAGAATTTGGTGGAATGAAGATTGGCAGGGGAAACAAAAGTACTCAGAGAAAACCTGCCCCAGCGTCACTTTGTCTACCACAAATCCCACTTGACCAGACCAGGGCTCGAACCCGGGCCGCCGCGGTGGGAAGTCAGCGACTAACCGCTAGAGCTATGGCGCGGCCTACCTTTACCTTACTTTCCGATCGGTATAGTTCAGTCGGTGTAGTGACAGGGTACAAGCTAGACGGCAGGCGTTCGATTTCCGGTAGGGGCAAGATTTTTCTTTCCCCCACAGCGTTTAAACCGTCTCTGAAACCCACCAAGCCTCCTATCCAATGGGCACAGGGGACGATTTCTCGGGAGCAAATCGGCTGGGGAATGACGTTGACCGCTAGCCACCGTCCAGTTCCGAGGTTAGGATGCTGGAGCTATACCCCCACTCTTCCACCTGTCTTCATGGCATGGTGCTTAATTAGTTAAACACAGATACTTTACCTATTTTTAACCTTCCCTGTCTCTCCATGGCCCCTCTCGCCTCCGAATATCTCTGGGTCAGAAGACGTAAGAATGTGGCAAGTCTATTTTCAAATGTTTAATTTTTGAAAAAATATTTATTACAGTAGAGTTTTACTATCAGGCCATAACTCAGCTCAAATGGTCAGTTGCCGTCTTTCCACCTCGGCGGCCCCCGTCCGATCCCAGTTCAGACTGTGTGGGATTTATGGTAGACAAATTGGCACTGGGCCTGGTTTGCTACTATTGCTTCGGTTTACTGTGTCAGTTCTCATATCACCAACTGCATCATTCGATAACAAGGGATGCAGGATAAATCAGAGGAACTTCAATGTATGAAATGTATGACAATTGAACACAGCTCCCGTTGAATTTTCGAAGGGTGTTATGCAAGTTATAAATAGCTTCGTAACTTACTTTTTATTCATATTTCATCGTATGCCTTTTTTGTTTCAATGACCGATCGTCTTTTTCTTCTGTTGCTGTAATTGCGTCATTAACTGTCTTCTCGCGCTCGAACGCTGGAATCGTGGGTTCAGATCCCACTCAAAGCATGGATGTCTATGTGTGTTTATTCTGTGTTTGTGTTATTCTTTGTGTAGGTAGCGGCCTTGCGACTGGCTGATCCCCCGTTCAAGGAGACCTAACGATTGCGTACAGGATTAAGAACCCGAAAAAGCAACCGAGGTCCAACAGATGACTTTAGAGCCATAGATAGATAGATAAATAGATAGATAGATAGATAGATAGGTAGTTGGGTGGGTGGGTAGGTAGGTAGTTGTACCTAATAATATGAATTAAAAACCTTGCATTGCCAAATAGTGGGGCTTTTGAAAAAAAAATTAAATAAATATGTTATTGGTGACAGAAATATGACTACTTCGGGTGTGTTCGGGGTTGGCTTTGGGTGGGATGATAATATGTGAGGTTATGTGGGTGTTTGGTATAGGAATGATCATGTAAGGGATGGGATCAAACTGTTACGCAACGTCCATTTTTTCCAGAAATGTCGCTGTAGTAGACTATATAAAATGCATTGATTTGAGGTGATAGCATGAAAATCACCAAAGATGAAGAAATGAAGGAAATTAGAACAAACGCCATACATACGAATTTAAAATGCCGACGTTAAAAAGATGTAGCTCATATAAATCAATCTTCCGAGCACCAGTTCGGGCAACCTGAATTAACGCTTGTGTGACGTTTCTCATTCGCTACAGGGAGAGCTTCCGTATGTTGTCTGATATCAGGCTACCTCGTCCTTTTCCCACCAGTCCACAGATGTCAGGAGTGGCTCATCGCTTTCATGTGACTGTCCCTAAACATGGCCTCCAACATTCTGTCATCCGACTCCACGGATGAGTTCGATATGACTGAAGGTCTGTATACAATCTGTGGTGCGTAACGATCGCTGAGTGCCTGCGCAAATCGTGAAGTTTTTTTTTTTACTGTCACAAACTTAGATCATCTCTAAAGGCAAAGAAAAGTAAAATCGCCTATGTGCGTAATTAAGCTTCACGTCATGAAGACGTATGGAGGAGTGAAGGCTTGAGCTTAATATCCATCGACTTGTTACCGCGGTATCAATTCGATGAGAGGCTGGGTTGGCTTCAGAGTTGGTCTGGACCCAGTGGATAAGAGAAATGCAACAAATATCTCTGATATTCCGTCCTACATGCCAACACTCCTTTAAAATTTATTTCAAAGTTACTACTCATACGCAATTAGTCTTTTAAACCTATTTGAAACCACATTGTACACTATATGTTTCGACCGTCTTGCTCTGCTGCAAATCGAACCCAATTTACACGATCAGCCAGCCCGCAACCTAGTCACTATACCGATCGAGCACTTTCGGCATATCTTAGATCAATGTTTCTCAACCGCCGGGCCGCGGCATCGATTATACGGTGCCCTCGTCTTATAAAAAGAAATTCACCGGGCCGCGGTCTCACAGAGGTTGAGATCCACTGTCTTGGGTCATGTGTTTTCATATAAATTATGTTGGAAGCTGAGGAATGTTGGCCCCAAGAGGAAGTAACGGGAGGCTGCATTATTGGGAGCTTCATAATTGTACTCCTCACAGAATACGCAAATAACCATAGACGCTGACGTGCTTTTAATTCCTTTTAGTCTTCGCCAAATATTATTGGCGTGATAACATCAAGGAGGACGAGATACAGTCAGAGTCAGAGTCAGAGTCAGAGTTACTTTACGACTGGCGGTTTACCACCAATCAGTTTGTCTTGGCGCCAAGCCCCGTGAGACCCACGACCGTTATTTATTTTTCAAACTGAACTCCTGCGTTTATAGTCCTCATGTAACATTCTATCCGATGAGAGAATGAGTGTGTCGTTTACAATTGCTGCTGTTCCTCGCCAGCGCAGTCATTCTCCGGTCCGAGTCCTACGGGACTCATGACCATATTTTACTGTCTCAGATTCGAGACGCCCACAACCTGGAAGGTCAGGTGCCCGTATTTATATCACCCAGAAAGAGGGTGGCCCGGTTATACCCCCAGGCAATGGATTCCCTTTTCGTCGCCTCCTGCGGCTTGAAGAGCTACGATGAAGTTATTCGACTCCGCGAATTTTAAATGTTCGGCCAACGTGATAGACTAAAAAATAAAACGCGATAGTTTATAACTTTTTCATGCGGGCTTATGATAACTGTATTATGCTTGTTGTCTTGCGCACTGAGAATTTTCAGAGAGCGGAAACTTACTTCAAGTTATGTACTTATGTACTCTCTCGTCAGAGAGTGCGCCCCACAAAAACAAGACCGTAACTGACTGACTGACCGACCGACCGACCGTCAGTCGCAATGTAACTTTGACTTTGACTTGAACCAAGTAGTATTGGGGAGTATTAGCGTGTGTTTAAGTGAGAGCCACGGGATGTTCGTCGTGTGAAGTCTTGGCGTGTGATTGGAAAACTTTAATTATGTGTAATACTTGGAGTGATTTGAAGCTTTAGTTTCTGTCTTGAGATCCATTACCAAGAGAGGACTAGTGTGCGTGTAACAGTGAATTATGAGGTATATGCAAATCAGCGACGCGGTAGCGTAAGTTGGTTGGGGCACTATGCTGCAATCAGGAAGGTCGCGGGTTCAAGTCCCGATGAGGTCATTGAACTTTTTTAATTGACCTAATCTTTCCAGCCACACTATGGCCCCGGAGTTAACTCAGCGTCTGGCAGAAATGAGTGCCAGGAATATTCTTAGAATGTTCTTGGGGGTAAAGTGCGGCCGGCGCGTAGGGCTGACAACCTTACCGCCATCTATGAGCCGATTGTCTAGAAAATGTGGGAACTTCAACATCTCACAACCCAATGGGGCTCCACGGCCTGTTACAGGGATACCTTTACTTTTTTTTTACTGTATGTAAATCAGCGACAGCGCTGTATTTAAGAGTAATTAAGAGAGAACTTGTAACCGAAGTGCCAATAAATCCAATCATCCGAACTAGAACCCTTCATTTCTTGACACGTGACAGTATTTAACGTCCTATAGATTGAAGTTGTCATTTATTCACAGAAATTGATCGGAGAGACTTATATAATTATTGTGTTACCGTTTCTATATTTAGCCCCAGACGGAAGCCCTGTGGATGGTGGGTTGACGGCGCTCGAAACTTTGCCCTGTCTATCTGCTGTGATATTCCCCTCATATTTCAGTCAGGAGTCGGGATAACTCGGTATGGCGACTAGGCTACGGGCTACACTCCCGAGGAGTTGGGGTTCGATTCCCGGGAGGGGCAAGAGACATTTCTTTTTTCCGTAACTTCCAGACCTGCTCTTGCCCCCTCGTATGCTATGGGTACTGATAATAGTAGTAGATGGGTGAAGCTGGCCACTTACCATCACTTAAAGCCGAGTTTAAGAACTGGAGCTATACCTCCACTCCCACATACGTCTCCATGGCGTGATGATTAATTAACTAAAACCCAAGGATAAGTTTTCCTGCACTTATGTCAACCCAAAGCGCTTTTCGCTAGTGAAGGTTATAGCCAGAAAACATTCACGGGAGTAGACGGGACCATTGGACCGCAGGAGAACATAGGAAAGTACCCAGGAGATGAAGCCTAGCAGCTAGAGGGTTATGTGGAAGAGATACTTCAGGGACGCTTCTTTGCTCGGCCACATAAATTGTAGCATTTTCAGGATAATAGGAATTATTAGCTCTTTCCAGAAGTCTTTTGGTCTTATCCATCTAGAATTTTCCGTTAGTGTTTTTATTAGTTCTACAGTCTTGTGTGCAACAATTTATTAGAACTAGTTAAAACACCAAGTGAAAACTGAAACAGGATGCTACAATACAACATTATTTTTTTCTGTGTCGCTAAAGTTGCCCTGTACTTAGCTAATTAATCACTACATTATGAAGGCGTACAGGGGAGAGGATGTATAGATCCACATTTTTCTTGGCCTCTGCACTAGTTGGAGGTGAGTGGTCAGCTTCACGCCCCGGTCGCTTTATTCACGGGGAAAGAGCCCCCGGTACCCATTGGATAGGAGGCTGTGTAGACCGCAGATCCGGCCTGGACAATGTGGAAAAGAGAAGATTCTTGACCCTACCAGGACTCGAACTCCGACCCCTCAGTCATCCAGCCTACATTTTCTGTGTCAGTGAATCTTTTAAATGTTCTGTACAATTTCTTCATTCATTATAAGCCTATAGGCGGGGCTGCATAATATCCCTTTATATTCATATTTGGAGTGGGATTCGAATCGACGATTTAAATGTTAGCGCGTTTTAATTAATGGCATTAGGCCCTGTTGTAATACTGAAATGAAACGAAACTTCCATACCAGCGTTGGTGTGAGAGCACAGATGAGCCAAGCGGCTTCCAGGAGCAATATATTTTACAAATCTTTAATTTTTAAAATTAATTTTTTTCTGATCATTTGTTCATGTCATGATCATTAATTGGCAGAATCCTAAACATGTTACGTAACAATGCGAACACAGCTATTTACGAGATCAGTTACGGTTTTCGCCAGTGTCAGGAAATTTTAAGAATATGAGCGGATTTTTGACGTATGGTGGAGGAGATTTCGCTTGGCCTGGTGCCACATTTAGATATGCGCTGGCCCTGCTTCTCTCTCTTGTGATTCATCTGTGTTAATCACATTTTCTTGTAACGATAGCGGTATTAGATCTTCATTGTCCTGATTGCAGAGTTCACTGGCAGTCGTTGACACGGAACACTTGTATTGTTTTCACTAGATTCCGTCCACTTGCCATAAGGATCATGTCGCGTGTTAATACTGCCAACACAGTGGTTTGCAAAGGCCTATATTAATTTTTTATCAGTAGTTACAGGGTGTTAAGGAGAATATGTACACCCAAGAAAGAAAAAATAAAGCCGGTCACGGTAGGCGAGCAGTCTAAGGCATGCACTGTCTTCGCTCGCTCGGAAGCCGATATCGTGAATTCGAATCCCGCTCAGGGCGTGGATGTTTAGTGTTCGTGTGTGTGTGTGTTTTTCTGTGTTTGTATACAGGTAGAGGCCTTGCGACGAGCTGATCACACGCCCAAGGAATCCTACCGTATGTCTAAGATCTAGTAAACCGAAGTGAAACGGAGAGTTTCATGGAGGTAGGCCAAAGCCCAAATTGGGGCTGAAGCGTCAAAGAAAAGAAGAAGAAAAAGAAGGTAGAGACGGTAGACTTATTAAGCTTTATAATTTACACTCTTCGTCATCTCTTAGTGAAGGAGTAAGACGAGTTAAGCATGTAGCACACACAGAGATGTAAAGTTAGAGGAAGCGTCACTTTAACGAAAATGGGAGGATAATACGAGTACTAAAACTAATATCAGATAAATAGGGCGTGGACTGGATTCACGTAGTTCAGGATATGGTCCAGTAGCGGAATCTTGTGAACACAGTAATTAACCTCGGGTTCCATGAAATGTTTGAAAATTTTTGACTGAGAATGACTCTTCTGCATGAGGATATAACTACAGGCAGAGGCTCACATATCTGTGACAATGGACCAATTTCCTCCGGGGCAAAAAACGATTTCCTCTCAGAAATTTTTCTCGAATGCAGCAATCTAATAGTTCCCCTTTGTATTCTGAAGGTTCCGATTTCGAATTTCTGCCCTGGGACTGAGGATTTTGGTTCTATTTATCAGTCTCTGTAGGCAAATAACCTGCCACGGCCACTTTCTTTCATGGTCTTTCCATTCGGTGTCACGTGATTTAGGCGGTAGAAAGAGGCCCTTATATAATCCATGGATAAAACGACACACTAATTTACTTCAGGGACATTTTCTGAAAATAGACCATGATTTATATACTCATTTAAATCGTGGTTGTAATTTTATGATATTTGGCCACTTGGTTGGTTAAATAACACAAAGGTCAGATCCGTACA